TACGGGGAGCACTCGCCGAAGCAGGACGCCCGCGGGGAGGTGGTCATGGCCAGCTCGGCCCACGACCGCCTGGCCTGCGACCCCAACACCAAGTTCCCCGCCCCGACTCACGGCAAGAACTGGATAGCCCTCATCCCCAAGGGCAACTGCACGTACAGGGATAAGATCCGGAACGCGTTCCTGCAGAACGCCTCCGCCGTGGTCATCTTCAACGTGGGCTCCAACACCAACGAGACCATCACCATGCCCCACGCGGGTGAGTGGCCCAGCTGGCGCGGGGGAGGGGAGCCGGCGGGGACGGAGGTGCCTAGAGGGATCCAGCGTCTGCCTCCAGGCTCCTTCTGGGAAGTCTGTGCGGCGCGGAAACCGTGTCTAGGTTCCCTGGACCGATTAAGTTTTGCTCCGCGGCACTTGGGGGGCTTACAAAGAGGAGAAGATGAACTGTATTGGGGAGGGGAGAGGCTGCCAGAGAACTTGGCATAGCGCCACTTGGACAAGGGTTCAACGTGGCAGGCTAACTTTTCCGAGGGGACCCTGGAAGGTGGGGTTTGGGGGGCAGGGCTCCGATACTGTTCTAGGTTAGTGACCGGCCCAGCACCTGTTTGGAACAAGCAGATCTGATAACACAGCACCGCTCTTGGGTCTGTGCATCAGGTATACCCTGATGCAGGCGTCCCTGTATAGCAAGAGAGGAGTAGGGTTACCTGCTGGCAGCTCACCACCGCCAACTTGCTCTTGAGGTTTCATCTCTTCGTGGGAGAGTATCCCCTTCTGGGTTTACGCACTGCATTAATCATATTAAAAGTACTATGCTCTGCCAGGCTGTCATCCAGAGAAACTGACAGGTGGCCACGGTGGTAAATAACAACAATCCTCAACAAGCCAAGAAGAGTGGGATGGCCCTAAAGTTATAATTACTTTTCTAATTATTGCATTATCCTTTGCCTGATTGGGAGGTTAAATATGCTGAAGGTTTTCTTTCTGGCTAGAATGAAGGGATTTAAGACTAGAGAGAGTAAGCTTTTTGTTAATGATCGCAGGTACCAGGACTAGAAATGCATTACTGTCCCAAAACTCAATACCGCATATGCCTAACATGAGCAATGTTTCCCTGGTGGTAGGAACACCCTCCCCCCAAAAAAGCCATCCCCAGGCTTGTTAACGTAAGTCCATAAGCCACTAGTTTTAGCAGGCTAGCCTCATTATGTCAGGGCTTGCTACTTGTATTTGTGTGCCTGAGAAGTGGGCCCTCCTTCCCCAGAGGGGTTTCTGGGCCAAGACTGTGGCATCCAGTGCCCGGAAGGAGGGGAGAAAAATGACAGATGCATTTTCTGAGTGGAGTCTCCTAATCAAAACATTATTTTCTTTAAAAACCGAATTTGAATAAATAGTTACGCTGCTGAAATGGAACACCAAGCTCTGGCTACATTTGCAGGGGTGTTCTCTTTGGGGACAAGTTTCCATTCCGAGAGCTCATGTCACCTATTAGTGAAATATTCAATTGGTTTGCCTCCAGTAATCAACACCAGCTGTTTTAGTCAGGGAACTTTGTCAACCTTAACACAAACAGGTGGGGAGGAGAAATGTTCCACCCTTCTAAAACACAGGCCAGAAAAATGCGGTGTGTTGATTAATGAAGAGGAGAGGCAGTTAGAAAAGTTACAATACAGCACTTTAAGAATACTCGATATATTTTCTTGAACTCGACAGTTTTCTAAGGGAAAAGATTGTACTCTAACCTTGAGTCATAAGAGCACTACTGAAACTTTGATATTCAAGGATGTTAAGGACTGTGGAAAGCACTTTAAGTCATGTAAAGTATCTTTAGATAAACATGTTACTTAATATTTAAAACCTCAATGGAGGAGGGGTGAAGGAGGCTTTGTTGTTGTTTAAACTCCAAGGAGATTGTTAGCTGACTGTGAGATTCTTTAATTGTTTCTCTGTGCATGTGCATGAAAGCTTAAACTCAACTTTGAACATAAAGTAAGAGGCATCATTTGTTCCTGTCTAAAAAGGTTCTCTAAAACTGCCAACACATTGGATCAATTAATGGCTTGCTTATTTTTAAAGAAAGCACTAAGCAGATTTCCCACACAAATGATGCTTGATTAAGACAGTGGGAGTAGAAGGTTTAGTAATACTGTAGTTTGAACATTAAAGGCAAAACAAATTGGAAATTGTCTATTATCTAATTGTTCTGTTTCCAAAAATGTATTCATGCTATATCCGCCAATAGCCAGGAAACTCCAAATTATCTTCTGACATTTTGCCACATTAGGAGACTGTGTTCACTTTAGTCAGAGGCTGGCATTGATTTCTGCTAGAGTGTCATTATGAGCAGATACATGACAGGGTAGCATGGCAAACCCTTGACTATACTCTGAAATTCTTCTGCCTAAATCTCAAACACTGCCAGCACTGGTCTGGATGTCAGTGTCTTCCATGTAGTCCAGATCTTGAAAGCTTTACTTTTTCTAGTTACATTTGAGGTCAGATTTCTAAATTCACTTTGAGAAACTGCACATTTTAGGTGCTAATCAAATATTTTTATTTTGTGAGCTTGGTGTACAATACCAGAGAATCTTTATATTTGAATTTTTAAATTCAGTTTTCAAAAAGTTTTAAAAAATGCAAAAGCTGATGATATATCTGACACCTTTGCTGTAGATCCTTTATTTTTGGAACTGATAGATTTCAGGTGAGGAGAAGGTCTGTTTATGTTTATTTACTGTTTATTTAGTGTCATGCAACCTATCGTTTAACATCTGTGCATTTGCATATCTTGAAATTCAATTAAATAGAAATTGTTTTCTCCTTTTCATATACGTTTTCTGTTTTTTTCTTTTCCTGCTTAAATAATTTTGATTTTCTGCCACTTACGTAACTATAACTTCTCATTCAAAAAGACACCGCTTCTTCTGGGATAGACCAGTAGTTTTGCTTTATAACAAGTCACTTTCCTCCCCAGTATAACAGCTTTATTGAAATATAAACATACTCTGCAGTTCACTCATTTAAAGTATATATTTCAATGGCTTTTGGTGTATTGACTGAGTTGTGCAGCCATCATCACTATCTAGTTCTAATAAGAAACCCTTGTACTTCCGCATTATTCCCCAACTCCCCATTATTCCCCAACTCCTTAGTCACTCCCCATTATTCCCCAACTCCGAGCCCTAGGCTAATCTACATTCTGTCTTTATGTATTCAAATGCCTCTTTTGTACCTTTCATATAAATGGAATCATGTAATATGTGGACTTCTGTGATTGGCCCCTTTGATTTAGCATAATCTTCCTAAGGTTCATTAAGGTTGTAGCATGCGTCAGTACTTAAACCCTTTTTATTGCCAAATAATATTTCATTGTATGGATATATCACATTTTGTGTATCTGTTCATCAACCGATGGAAAATTACGTTGTTTCTACTTTTTGATTGTTACAAAAATAGTGCTATGAACATTCATGTACAAATTTTTGTGTGGACATTTATCTTGTTTATATATCTAGGAGTAGAACTTCTGAGTCATATGGCAACTCTATAATTTAATCATTTGAGGACCTTCTAGACTGTTTTCCAAAGCAACTGCATCATTTCGCATTCCCACCAGCAGTGTTTGAGGGTTCCAGTTTCTCCACAGCCTCATCAACATTTGTTACTATCTTTTTTATTTTGTCTATTCAGGTGGATGTGAAGTGGTATCTTCATTTTGTTTTAAATTTTCATTTCCCTGATGACTAATTATTACTTTTTAATATACTCAATTCTTTTTTTCTGCTTTTCATTTTATTCCCTTTCCCCTTATGCCCACCATTATTTATTCTTTTCCAGACTTTCAACTCATACACTTTTATCCTTGGGAAGAGAGAGAGTGATTAATAGAGAAAATCTGCTTCTCTCACTTTTTTTAAAAAGTCTATGGACCAGAGATTTATATGTCCCCTATTAAGGGACGTAAGGCTATATCTTTAGTGCAAGAGCACCAAGAAGGCCATAGCAAAAAGCTATAGAGAAATGCATCTTCCAACTAGTAAAAGCCCCAGAAGTGAACTTTCATGTGTAGGCAAAATCTGTGAGACCCAAATTACTTCCTCAAAGCTGGTCTGATGCCTGCCTGTGAAGCTTCTTTCAGTGTACCCTAAGGAAATTGAAGATATCAGAAATTTCTAGAGGCAGTTTAGGGCACTGATTAATTAGGAGTGTAGCCTCTAGAACCAAGCAACCACTTGGATTTGTGTCCTGGTGGCACTACTTTCTCACTGTGTATCTTTGTGCAAGTTAGCCTCTCAGGTCTTGGGTTTCCTCATCTGTGAAGTGGATGATAACACCATCTACCTCGGTTGCTTATGTGAATTAGATGGATTAATGCATGTACAATGCTTAAATCTGTGGCTGGCACAAAGCAGTAAAAAAAAGTTAACCGTTCTAAGCATTGGACTCAGTGACACACAGTGACATGCAGGAGCTACAGACTGGATCATCATACCTTTGAGGCTCGCTGAGTTCCTGGCAGCCTTGGGAAAGAACTCCTTATTTACCCTTTCATACTGAAGAGGCCAGAGCAGTGGTGCCAATTTTTTTGTGGCTCAGTGAATTGAAACAGGGTGTTCCAGCTCCCTCTGACTGATGAACATTTAAGATTCTCCTATTGCATTTGTACTTTCTTTTGGCTTAAATTGAAATTTCACTGTAGCAAGGGCATGTGTGATAAAAATGGTAGTCTGTGTATGCAGGCTGTTTGTGACTGAGTGGTGATGAGGAAATGGTGTGTGTCGTTTTTTTTTTTCTTTTTTAAAGTGTGTGTTTGATATCTTTCTGTTTGTCTATTGCTAGTACATAGTCAATGGGAAATTAAACATCTAGCTGTCTAGGAAGAACTTTTGTGAGACTAGGTTCCTAAGAGCAACTTGGAGATGGAGGAAGGGAGGCAATGGTTGCAGTAACTCTGGAGAACATGCTCGACTCTTGGAAAGGAGGAGCCTAGGATGGAGTATATCTATGTATTCTAGACTTCTCCAAGGTTGGAGGCAAAATGTAGTAGATCTACTGAGGCTCTTCCTCCGTAGATGGGTGTTCAGAGTTCAGTGTATGGATTCACGCTACCTTTATGGCCATTACTTTGATTGCTGAAGTCTACCTATGTCTTCAACTCTGTAAAGGACCTAGCTGCTTTAATTTTAAAAAGTTGTTTTTTTTCTTCAGGACTCATTTTTCTAGAATATTTGTGTGTACTTTTGCTTTACATTTTCCTTT